TAATCACTATTTTTTTTTAGAGGTTTTTTTGCTATAGGGCATGTGCACTCGCCAGACAGACAGAGAGAGACAGAGATATAGAAAACGAGAAATCACTCCCCCAGGGGGGATGGCCACGCTACAATCCCTTCTCCTCTGTTCTCCTCTCAGGATTTTGGACATGCACGCACATGTGCCCAGTGTGTTTTAAGTCACTGGGTCTGGGACGTGAACCACGGTCGACTACATGGGAGTCCAGCGACATAGACATTATGCTAACTGCTGGTCCCATATAATCACTATATTGACCCTATTGGTTGCTGTTTCAGTACTAGACCCACCCATAAATCTTTGGTCCCAGAAACTCCTTGGCCAAATTCTTATGTGTCACATTAGCCCTGGCCTTTTTTCAGCTCTGGTGCCACTTTGGCTGTGGCTTGGCCAAATTTGGCAGCCCTGGTTGCCTTATGGGAAGGGAGGGAATAATAATTCTTAAAGAAAATAGAAAAAAGAAAACAGAGAGGGAAATTAGCAGGAATCTTCTTGATCTGGTGTTGGCCATTCCACACTCCAATCACAGAGAGTGATTTCTCACTTTCTGTCTTTCTAGTGAGTGCACACACTCCATAGCAAAAAATCTCTGAAAGATCAAAAAGAGAAATTTATTATAGAAGTTATTTCTCAAAATTACAAGGTGGGAAAGTTCCACATTAGGCCATCTACAAGCTGGAAAAACAGCTAAAAGCAGGGAAGTTGGTGCAATTGTAGTCTGAGGTCTGAAGATGGCCCTTGGTAGACTCTGAAGAGGGAGGCTGGTGCAGTTCCAGCTCAAGACCTGAAGGGGCCCCTGAAAAAACTAAAGCAAAGAAGCTGGTGCAGTTCCAGTGGAGGCCTAAAGGGGGCTCTAGGGAACTTGCAAGTCCCTGTTTATGCATCGGAGTCCAGAATTAAAACATCAAAGAACTTAGAGTCTGACTGGCTAGAGGAGTGCAAGGGCCAAGAGTCCGCAGGAACAGGCAAGGAGTCAGCAGGAACAAACAACAGCCAAGGTCCAAATGGAGGAGCGGGAATGGAGCAGACAAATGTACAAGAGTGGAAACATAGTGCATTCTGCAAGGAAGTGGAGAGAGCGAGAGGAAGAGGGGAGAAGGAAACAAAAGTCAAATTCCTCCATCTCTCTCATGCACCCAGAGATGGGATTGTTCCCACCCGCCCCCCACCCCCTCATCCCTCAGTTTGAAGGTGGTACTTCTCTCCACCCACTGACACATATGCCAATCTGAATTGGCAACATCAAAATAGACAAATTTAGAAACAGTTTCATCAGTCTTCTGACATCCTTCAATCTAGCCAAGCTGACGCCCAAAATTATCATCATGGATTCTAGCCAATTTCAGGTTGATTAAACAATTGACTTCAAAAAGTGATGGCTGTTAATCAACACAATGATGTTGTACCTGAGATAGAGAAAATGGAAGGTCTGTCTGCAAAGGATCTCAACACAAGTAAGAGAGAAAGGAAATGATACTCGGTAACCATCTACTCAAGACTATACATACACTTTAAATAGTGTTTGTAGTAATTATCAATCTTGATAATAATGTCCTGAGATAGCTATCACTATTCCTGTCTTAATGATGAACAGGTTAAGTTTAATAAATCTACCTTTAAAATCACAGAAAAAAAACATTATAAAGACTGGATTTGAACCTGGGTTTTTCTGACACCAAAGGATGACCTTGTTTCTCTTGCTTAACTGATAAGTAAATATAGGAGTTTAAGCATTAACCATATCACTTTTATAGAAGATTGACAAGGCCTCAATGTCTATGGAAGGTTGAAACACCAGTTATGATGAAGACGGAAAGGATGCATTATTAAGTGTATCAGAGTATTTAATAGCACCTTTGAGAAAAGATTTAGGGACTGCATTTCCTGTCATATGGAGAAAGAGAAGTTATTTCTAGTTATATTCTGCCAAAGCTAAAAATCTTTCCTTTTGGAGATAAGGATTTTTTTTCTTAACTGTATATTCCTCATAATAGGTTATATTTTAATGCTAGAGCAATTTTCAATATTTGATTAAGAATTGCTTACTCCAAGCTGGCTGGTTGTGATACCTGGGGTGTCTTTCCCATTAAAAAGTTATTTTGGGACCAGCAGGTGACATAATGGTTACATCACTAGACTCTCACAGTCAACTGTGGTTCAAACTCTGGGTCTGGTGGTGTAAAACTCATGCTGTGTGTGTGTATGTGTGGGGGGCAAAACCAAAATCCCGAGAGAAGAATGGAGGAGAAGGGATTGTACCATGGCCATCCCCCCTGGGGGGTGATTTCTTGCTTTTCTGTCTCTCTGTCTCTCCAGCAAAGGTATACACCCTATAGCAAAAATCTCTCTAAAAAAAAGAATCATATGGGGAACGAGTAGTTAGCGTAATGGCTATGTCACTGGACTCCCACGTAGTCGACCGCGGTTTGTGTCCCGGACCCGGTGGTTTAAAACTCACGCCGGGCGCGTGTGCGTGCGTGCCCAAGATCCCGAGAGGAGAATGGAGGAGAAGGGATTGCGGCGTGACCATCCCCCCTGGGGGGTGATTTCTCGCTTTCTGTCTCTATGTCTCTCTCTGTCTGTCTGGCGAGCGCACGCTCCCTACAGTGAAAATCTCTCCCCCCCCAAAAAAAAAAGAAAAAAAAGAATCATATGTAACATAAATGTTCTGTTTTTAAAGCCTACCCACAAAATAAAATTGCATTTTATATTTAATATCAAAATTACGATAATTTGAGAATTACAGGCCTAATTGTCACCAGTTAGTCTTCTTATACAATTCTTCTTACTCTTTTTGCAGATTCTACAGGAAGCTAAGTCATGTTTTCAGGAAAAGGACCCATGTGTTTTTTCATTCAGAACTTCTATCTCATCACTGTCAAAACAAAAATCTAGACTTACTGAAGAAAGAGTATTGGAAAGGATATTATAAGAAGGAGAAAGGACTATGCAATAAGGAAAATTTCCCAGTCATGCAGCAAAGTTTATGGTCAAGATTTAGGCAAAAGGTTATCTTTCAACATGGAAAGTAAACATGGATAGAAAAAAACTAGGTGTGGGCATATGGGATAAAAGGGTAGCTTGACTGGATATTAAATCAGAGAATCTTTTACTCTGATGTCAGTATACTTTTAGGAGGGATTACTGAGGAGAGGTTGTGCTTGCTCAGGTTGAGGTCAACATTCAGCATCTGAAAGAAAAGGAATACATTTACCAAAGATGGAATAACAAACATTTTGTATGGACTGGCCATATAGGACAGTGGTTAAGGGAGCCAGATCCCATATAACTGAGTGCAGTATGAATCTTAGCACCAGTGGCTTAAAAAACATGTCAGGTGCATATGCACGCATGCCCAAAAATCCCGATGGGATTTAGCTACTTAAAGCTAAAGGGGACTGCAGTATGGCCACTCCCCATTGGGATGTGCTTTATTCCTGTCTCTCTGTCTCTGCCTCTCTCTCCCTCTCTCTCTTGCTGACGATCACAGACACCCCTGGCAAAAAGTAAACTAAACAAGCATTTTGTCTAGATCAGTCAGAGGAGATGAGCATTTCAGCTAGTCATTTATGAGACAAGAAATGGATGTGTCTTGTCTTATCATAGGTAAATAAGAAGGGGAGCATCTGTGAGCCTTATCTAAGACATCTGAGGGAGGAGATTTCTTGGCAGTAAGTTGTTTTTCAGAACACAAAAGAATTGGTGGGATGTTTCTTACCTATCACATTTTTCAGGATCAGAGGACCCAGGTAAAGTTCAACATTGTCACCACATTTAGCCTGCTATGTGATCTCTGTGTTACTGGACACACTTGGCTCCTTTGGGCAATGTGGCTACTGATGTGTACTTACTGTGTGCTAAGCTCCAGAATCCAGGGGATTCTGTTCTTGACTCTACCTTTGGAGGAGAATGAACCATTGGTTCAAAGAGCACAGCTGAGGCAAGGCTTTGAATTTCAGTAGGAATATATTGAAAAACAGAACCAGTCTGGTGGTATAGTAGGTAGTAAGCCACACTGCAGTGCTGGAGGCCATACTGCCATCTGCTGGTTCAATTCCCTGGGTTGCCCCGAAAGCATGTCAAGCTTGGGAAAGGGGAGTTGCAGCATAGTAATATCCTTCAGAGTCTTTCTGTCTCTCTCTCTCTCATGAACAGGCACATATTCTCTGTCATAAATGAATAAACTAAAAAAAAAGATGGGAGAAGAAAGAAGGAAAGCATGTAACATGGAACATCTCATAAAGACCATGTCTGGACAAGGTTATTTTCAAGTTCAGGTTCAAGGCCAGAGATGCTTTAGTTAAAGGTGCAAAAAGCGAGTCTTCATTTTCTGACCCAGGATCAATCTTTGCACAGGACAATACAATGGAATTATCTACTTATATAAGATCAAAATTCAATCTTAGAAAATGACCTTGCCTTTGAGACCAAGTAAAGTTATCAATATCATCAACCTACCAAGACTACTTTCCATATGCCATATATGAAGTATCTTAAGTCTGGTCAATATTGAATCTAGTCTTCTTTTCACAGTACCTTTTCTAGGATGAGACAAATAGTATGGCAATGTATCCTTGCCCTGATTAAAGTCCTTTTCTTCCCATTTTGCTTCTCCTTATACCATTTACCCAGCGAAAAACTTATAAACTAAGAGTAAGCAATTATTTATAGAAATAATAGCCTAAATTCACTGAGGAAAAAAAATAAGATTTACTTTCAAGGATACAACAAAGAACATTTCCTAGCATGTTTTGGTGTCTTGCCCAGGGGTCAATCCCTGTTCTTCTTTCCAGGCTCAGCTGAATGTTCCTTCATCACTTAAACCCCTCTGTAACTTTGTATTCTGTGGTCCTCTTCTTAAAGATCTACAAAGCACATTTTTCATACTCATTCCCCTTTATACATTTATTGTAATAAGTTGTTTGTTTAAATTTTTCTTATTTTATGTTTCCTATAATAACCTATGAATAACACTAGCATATCTGACTTGTCAACATTCTAATTCTCCTGGCATTGAGTAAACAGTTTATATTTGAGAGAAAATTTGTAGAGACATTCTGTAATACAAGATAAATCTCTTATGAAAAGAAGCTGGGTATAAACATCAGCATTCATATTGAGATAACCTCATTGTTCTTAAAAACAGGTGAGATCTGATCTATATTTGTATGAATAGATGGCTCAGTCCTATGGTTTTTGTATTCCTCCCTCAACCCTGCTCTTGGCCAACTAAGTCTGGCTGCTGCTTCTAGCAGTCAATGAAATGAGAGGCAGGGCTGGAGAGGAAGGGAGTTGATTTCCGATGAGAGGCAGAGGCTGGAGAGGAAGGGAGTTGATTTCCATATTTGGTTATAGAGAGACAGTCAGCAGACACCATCCAATTGTCCTGAAAAGTTCAACATGTGCTCAGTATTTAGGGATACAAGATACAAGCAGGTACAAATCATTCCTTAATACAATCAATCACGGTCAGTTGCTTTCCCCTGAATAATTATCCTGATTCCTGTTTTACTTCAAATACCCATTCTTGGTTTCTCAACTGACCATTCTTCAAACAGCACTCAGCACTTGGTCTGATTGTTCTCATTAGAGGCCTTGCTTAATATCTAAATGGATGCAGTTATATCCATTGCTACACCTCTAATTGGTCTTCAACCCCACTGCTTACCTTAAAGATAAACTGAAGTCTCCACCCTTCAGTAGTAGAGAAAATATGCAGGAGCCATTGAAATCAGTTTTTTCAGTTCCTATGCCCAACATGATATTTAAAATAATACCTTAGTCTTAGCCAAGGTCTGAGGTTACATATGTTATTTTCAGAACTAATGATGTATAGTGTAATTCTAGCTCTGAAAATGATAATACCAATATTCATACTGTGATTTACCATTCTCAAAGCAATTTTACATTGGTTCATTTAATCCTCATGAGTACTTTTGGAAAAAAAAATTACACATGTTTTAGAAATGAGAAAAACCACAAACCATATTCATTACCTGACTTGTTCAAGACTACAGAGCTGACAGCAATGTTGGGACTCCAGCCCAGTCTCCTGACTTTAAATACTGTGTGCTCTCCATGATTCTCAGGCTGCTTGCTGAGTCAACAACAAGCACAACTTGGCCCATTTCTACCTTAGTTTTAAATAGATCGTATGTCTTTGGCCTCTTTTTCCAAGTGAGAGCCATTGGTTGGGTTTATATCGAAGTGGATTCTGTTTTTGGCACTGAGCCTTCCTTTCTAAAGGATATTCAAAGTTGGACAGAAGCTCAGCTGTTATTCAGGCCAATGCAATATCCCCACCATGTGGCTGTCCAGCCTAAACTTGAATGTCTGAAGGGACGGAGAACTCACTCTTTTATACGTTCTTCTCTGTGGAGATATGTTGGCTTAAGATTTATGGGAACTGATGAGAGAGATATTGGGATTATTCTTACTTTAGAGGAAAGGAACAAAGGCACACAGAATTTAAGGAATTTACCTAAGTTTATATATCTAGTAAAATGGAGACTCAGGATTTGATGCCCAACAGGCTGACCCTAGATTCTCTGTACTAAATGCTCAGATTGTGTTGCCTCCATACCCAAGCCGTATAACTTTATTGGTTCACATGAGGGCGATGAACCTCCCAAATGTTCTGATGTCAATTTGAATGCACATGAACATGTGTCGATATAGGTGGGGATTCAGGAAAGGAACATATTATTCAGAGATTTGCATTTTGGCTGTGTTTGCTCAGCTTGGCCATGGCAGTACAGGATTCATTATATCCAAAGACACGTGTTGGCAAAATGCTTCCTCCTTTAAATGCTCCAAATCACCCCATGGTAGTTCTGGAAATTACCCCTTTTTGTGTAAGGCAATGATTACAATCAAGAGTAGAGTTTTATCCCATACTGTTTTATCCCATACTGTTTAGATTCTGAGAGTTCTCAAACTTGTCTTCAAGTTGTCTGTCTTAAAAAGTAAGTGCAAAGTCTGATGTACAGAAGGTATACCTTCTAGTTTCTTAGCATTTTAACTAAGATTATGAATCATTCATTTTTTTTCCATATTGCAGTTAACTAAATTTTGCAAGTTAAGGTAATTCAGCTAGTTTTATTTAAAATCCAATCTCATTTAGATGACTGCTACATCAGATGTATTTCTCCTGCTTCCTACACTTTTGCTAGGACAACATCAATGTTCAGAAATCTGTATTAGCTCCTGGCCTTGGGTGGGCAGGTGTCATGTAGTTCTGACCCACTGTATGTTCTTGCGAACCACCACTGAGGTGTATCTTACTCTGATAGGTCTTGGATGACAAACCTGCCCCTGCTGGATCTGTTATATCACAAGCTTGTCTGACTCACCATGGCCTACAGTTGTAACAACTTCTGTCTCCAACCTCGAGGGTCTTTTTACTTGCCGGCACTTTCAGAAACTTTTGGCTGCTCTCCTGTGACAAGTGGTGCTATAAGATATTTCAGATGCCTTATCTTAGTCTCATTGTAACTGTTGCTGCTCCACCCAATTGGTGATTGAAGGCACCCCTGTGCCTTCAATTCCCTAAGTGGTTTGTGATATCTCAGTTATACCCCAAGAACAGAAAGAGAAATCTCAGCTTATTTGGGATTTTCTACCACCATTCACTTCCAAGGTTTTGACTGCCATCCCATGATGGAGCATGAAGCAACTTGTCCCACCCAACCAACCTTCACACATAGACACACTTATTCTCATCTGAAATCATCCAGCCATGCTCAGTGCAGCACTTCCTCTCATGACTTCTATGTGTAGTTGTTACAGAGTCTTAGGGCAGCATTTTTTTCTTCCACACTCCATGCTCCATATCTGAACTCTTTAATCTGAGTATTACAGTTCTTAAGGAGCTAAAAACAATGACAATGACCAAAGTCCTTTTCGATTTGCAAAGTTGTTAAAATAGGATACTAAATATGGCTTTTCCTATTGTCTTGAAATTTTCGCTGAAGATCTATACCTGAGAACAATAAGCACCCTGACATAAATAGAGCATGAATTTGCTGCCAGTTACCTCTTCCAGAGCTTGCTAAGAGATTGCCAGACCAGTCTTGTGACTCCCAACCTCCTTTCCCCAAATAGTCTATGCAAATAAGAGGAACACAAATTTTAAAGCATAAGAAAGATTCTCAGTAGTAATCACACCTTAGGCTTTCTCCCTTTCCTTGTCCGGGAAGAGATGAAGGGTTCTTCAAGAGAATCACCCAGAGTTCTTAGGTATCTCTAAGAAATGGATTAAGGTCATCTTCCTCATGGGGATGTTGTTGACCTGTACAATGCACACTGTAGTGCCATGAAGTTATTCTTAGCAGAACTTAATACAGGTGGCCTGATAGCCAGAGAAATGGGTACCTGTTTTTAGCCCACAAGCTGCAGGTGGTTGAAACAACAATGTTAGTCAGGCAAGAAAAGAGGGTCTTCAGGAGCAAATTGCCCTTCTGCTGGTTGGTGAGCAGAATTTTGGAGAGTGGATCAAATGTGTGGTATGGCAAATAGCTAGACATAAGCCATCTCCAGTGGACTGTCCCTCTGTGATAATAGGGAAGCAGAAAAGCCTACAGAATGAGTTCTCAGGTAGTGATTAACTAAAAGTCTAATGGTCAAAGTCAGAAATCTACGCAGCAATGAACTCATCACAAGGAATTCTGGACTACTCAAAGATGGGCCTCTGGGAAGAACAAGCATGTAGACATGAGTGGCAAATAGAACACACTGGCTAATCA